TTGATCCAGCAATAACTCTACTAGATCTGTACCCCAAATAGATTTTTAAAAAAGGGAAATGGACTTATATGTACAAGAATATTTATAGCCACACTTGAGGGCAGGTGGCAAAGAATTGGACATTGAGGGGATGCCCATAAATGGGGAATGGATGAACAAGATGTGGTATATCATTGTGATGGAATACTATTGTACTATAAGAAATGATGAGCACGATGGTTTCAGAAAATCTTGGGGAGACTTAAATGAACTGATGTAAAGTGAAGTGAGCAGAACCAGGACAACATTATACACAGTAACAGCAATATTGTGTGATAATCAACATAATTGTATGACTTAGCTATTCTCAGAAATACAATGATTCAAGACAATTCCAAAAGACTTATAATGAAAGATGCTCTCTATCTCTAGAGAAAGAACTGATGGAGTATGAATATATATCAAAGCATACTTTTTGAAAAAAACTTTTTTTCTTTCTTTCCTTTTTTTGTCTGTATTTTCTTTCACAACATTGCTAATATGGAGATAAATTTGCATGACTGCATTTATATTTTCTACATCAAATTGCTTGCTTTCTCAAGAAGGCAGAGAAAGGAGGAAGGTAGATAATTTGGAATTCAATTTAAAAAAATGAATGTTAAAATTGTTTTACACTTATTTAAAAATAAAATATAAAAATTTTAAAAATACAAAAGTACTTAATAAAACCCTCCAAATCAGAAAAAAGAAAAAAAGGAGATTTTGACAAACATGAAGGCTCTGCATACCATGATAGAATCATCACTTCAGCCATGATATGACACAATGAAGATGAAATTGACCCATGAGAGAGCTAAAGTCAGTCATATGGGAAACTTTCTGAATAATGGGTGTCTGGAGACTACTTTACACAAACGAAGAAATACTAGGAGTAATCCATAAACAGAACATTGAATAAATTTTAACAGGAAAAGAGATTAATTTTTCCATTCAAATAAAAGTATTTAGTCTGAAAAATGTCATTGGCCCATTTGATAATCATGTTCTCTATCATGAAAATTAAAAATAAGCAAATTGCCTTGAGTTGTTAGAAGCTTCACCAGAATAGTGAGGTCTAAAAGAAGCCCCTGGCAAAAAAGAAAATGTCAGACTCAAGTGTCTCAGTTGCCTTGAAAGAAACCCAGAAGCTCAACTCACCAAAACCATAGTCAGCTCCTTTTGTGGCTCCACTTGCTCCGATCTGAGCTGAGCTGCTGCTACTGCTCTGACTGATGCTTCAAGTCAGCCTGTAGTCAGAGCACCTGCTGTAGGACCAATTATTATTAGCCCACCTGCACTTTCTCCACCTGCTGCCACCCCAGTTGCTGTGTGTACAGCTGCTGCCAACCTTGCTGCCACCTAAGCTATTATGTATCCAGGTACTCCCAATCCTGTTGCTACTCTACCTGCTGCCAGACCATCTACTTCAGAACCATCTGCTGCTACCCAGCCTACTTCCAGTCCCTCAGCTGCTGACCTCTCAGCCCTGTGTGTATTTGCTCACCATCCCCAACTCATCCCAGATAGGCATTAGCTGCCTTCCTCCTGTGGATCTACTTTATGAGTGGAGGTCATACATGACAGTTACAAGCTGATCTATGAAAGACCCATTTGGAAGCTTAAACCAGAGACTGAATATTCAGGTTAATACCTCAGTGCAAACTAATGTCTCAAGCGGAAGAAATCAAATGCCCTCTTTCCAGCACACCTTCCTCTACTTCTCCCAGATACTTAAAAAAGTGCCTATGCTAATTCATACTAGTTTTAGAACTAAAGAATGTGCTCTCCATATCAATACAAGTATTTGTAAATCCCTATAGTGGTTCATATTTTCTGGATTTAGTCCTCTAACTTTATATCTCTATATTCCTATTACATAAAAGGTCTCCAGTTTCTTTGCTTGAACTAGTTTCAATTGGCATGTCCAATGATTTTTCTTTCCAGCTTGTAATAGTCTTTTGCGAGAACAATGATCTTTAAATTGTCTCTAAGAATGCTATCTTTGATATCAAAAACATTTACTTGTATAGAAAACATGTATTCTTTCAAAATAATTTATTTCTCCTCTTCTTCCAAGTTGTCCTTTGCTTCAGTGCATTTGTATTACCAATCAGTTGTTTTCTTTCAGCCCTTTGAAGAGACTTGCCACTGTGGATTCATGTTTTTTTTCATTCTGTAAATTATTTCTGTTATGCAGACCAGAATTTCTGCCATTTGTTCCCTTCTAACTTTTCTCAAGTTTCTGATTCATATTGTGAACCATTCTGAAACATTCTACAGGGTTCTTTTATCATGAGGTATTGCTATAATTTCCTTTGTCATACCATTTTTAGTTACAGGTATGCAATCTTCTCTATGTTTTGGTAATCATCTTCCATTCTAATTTTAATGTTTTCTATGTTGATTTTTCTGTGTTGAATTTTCTTCCTTTTGAAATCTTTTATTTTCATCACTCACATTCTGACTTTTCCCTCTTTGATGGAAGATATTCCCCTATTCTTGGACTTCAACTCTGTCTCAGCCTCCACTGACATCTCAGATTTTGCTTTTCACCTATTTCTATAACTGCCTCAAGTGACTTATGGGAATACAAGACGACCTCAGCTGTATTGTAGTTCTCTTTCTTTCAAGACCAATATAGTCACACATGTTGCTCCCTGCCCTGATTCCCTCCATTCTTTAGGTCTGTAGCTAGGCTGAATCACATCTGCCACTTTTTTTCCTGGGTTGGAGGAAGGAGAGGTGGAGATCCTGGACAGGACTTCCATAACTTTGGAGTTCTGAATCTTGGGGTTAGTCCAGGCAGCAAAAAATCCCACCTTACCCCCATATCTTGCTATCCCTCACATGTAGATGAGCAAAATTGATGCCTACTTTTTGGTGAAATAGAACTAAGGGTAAAAGACAGGGGAGGGGGGGCCAAGACTTTTCAGTAGGAGGGAAATCAATGAATGAGTCTCAAAGCACAAGCCCATGGGTAAAATTTACTTATCCAGCTAGAATTTGGAGGCTAATGGGGGAGGGTTACTGAGTAATAGTGTCATGCTTTAGCACTCTAGACTGTTCATTCATAACCTTGCAGAGCTTCTTGCTTTTTTGTCTTTTTTGCTTTCAGCTCTTGTTATGCTACTTCTGATGTGTAATTTCTTTTTTAGGGTTTTTTTTGAGAGTTAATGGGAACTGGAGAAAATGACTAATTCTCCATCATGTTCATTATATGACTCAGAAGTCAAGATTTTCTCTTCAAACTGCATATACATCATTAGGGGATGTTAATTCATTAAAATGGTTGATAAAAATTAAAAAAAATTAATCTTAAATTTAGTTTTTGAAAATTCAAATGAACAACTCTAACTATTTTAGACTTATTTTTGTTTGTTGATTGCAGGAGTATTTTTGGAAACCAAAGTGAATCAGGTTGAGAAACATACCATATCTTATAGTACTTTGGATCTCCATGGAAAAGATGGATTATTTATCAGTCAAGCACACTTTCCTTAGGTTCAAATGCAGTAAGGAGCACAATTATGTAATCCATCTGTGTAATAAGCTTAAACTGACTGATAATGAAAGCAGCAGATCACTCCCATGTCAATCTCTGATATATTCTTAAAATTAACTTGGCTTATACATACAATGCTAAATAATTTTAACAAATATTTAATAATTTTGTTGATCATTGGACAGATCAGGAAAGGCCTTCCATAGAAAATGGTACCTGATCTGTATGTTGAGGAAAACTAAGGATTCTGTGAGTCATAGGTGAGTAAGGAGAACATTCCAGGTATAGGAGGAGGATTAGGTAGCCTATACCAGGGCACAGATGGAGAAGGTTGACTGTTATGTATGGAGAAAAAGAAGCAGGCCTATTTGGATGGAATGTTGTGTACATGAAGAAGAGTAATGTGGAATTGAGTTGGAGTTGGACTGTGCAGGAATTTAAGTGTCAATGGGAAGAGTTCATATTTTATAGTAGAGGCAATAGGGAGGCATTGAAGGTTCTTGACCATGGTCAGACCTGTGCGTTAGGAATATTACCTTGACAACTGTGTAGGTAGAGGGAGCAACTTGAGGCTGGGAAAACAACAAGAAATATATGTTCATTTTGATTCATTTTGGTGTGTTAGGACAGGGGTGGTGGGTGAAATGGAGAGGTAGGGAAGGTAGTTAATAAAGGAGACTATATATATATATAATTTGTATGTATGTATATATATGTATATGTGTATATATATATGTATCTATCTATCTATCTATCTATTTATGTGTGTGTGTGTATATGTGTGTGCATGTATCAACTAAGGTCAGCCATATTTTTCCATTATCACTACTTGTTCATAAATGACTACTTGGAAGATACTAAGTGTATTTGTAGCCAACCAAGGATTTATCTCTTTCTGGATTCAGTTTAACTATGGAATCAGTGTGTCGCTTACCAGTCACATTTTCTTACTCTCTTGAACACTTCTTAAAAATACTTCACTGTGAGTCACAGGATGATACATAGGCAAGAGAGAATAACATTAAGATCTATGGGATTCTTGGTCACAGTAAGACTAGAAACTGAAAAAAAAAAGAAAAATAATAAACAGAGATAAAATTCCATGAATCAATGAAAAGCAAATTATGATTTAATAGAAAAGTTCATCGTGCATTTTTTTGTATATTTTTATATGTATACTGTAGAGGGGGAAAGGTCTTGTTTAGGCATGGCTTGAAGGCCACTTCCAAGTCTGATATTCTCTGTGATTTAGGACTGTGAATTTGATGGCATATGCAGCAAATTGGATGAATCCAAAAAGGTTAAGGAAATAATTTCTTTTCCATCATCAACACAAATTATATAATTTAAGGGGCATCTTAATTCCTATCTTGCTAAACAATAACAAGGAAATAAGTTGTTAGTGATAATGGTTGTCACTCACAAACAGTATATAAGAGGCTCAAGGAGCTATAAAACTTTCAAACTCCCGTGTCTCACTCACCTTGAAACAAATCTAGAAAGTCAACTCACGAACACCATGGTCAGCTCCTGTTGTGGCTCCACCTGCTCTGGACAGAGCTGTGGCTCTGGCTGCTGTGCCCCCTGCTGCTGCCGGATTGGCTGCTGCTTCCGGCCTCCCTGCTACCAGAGCACCTGCTGCAGGACCAACTGTTACAGACCCACCTGCATTGTGTCCACCTGCTGCCGCCCCAGCTGCTGTGGGTCCAGCTGCTGCCAGCCAAGTTGTTGCAGACCAAGGTGCTGCCCGTCTGCTTGCTGCCAACCAACCTGCTGCTGCCCCAGCTGCTGCCAGCCCTGCTGCCGCCCCAGTTCCTGTGTGTCCAGCTGCTGCCAGCCCTGCTGCCACCCCAGCTGCTGTATTTCTAGCTGCTGCCAGCCCTGCTGCCGCCCCAGCTGCTGTGGGTCCACCTGCTGCCGCCCCAGCTGCTGTATTTCTAGCTGCTGCCAGCCCTGCTGTCTCCCCAGAAGCTGCCATCCTGCCTGTTGCCAGACTACCTGTTGCCGCCCAGCCTGCTGTGGCTCCTCTTGCTGCTGAGTGCCCAATTCTTCATATATCTGCTCACTATCTCCATTCTTCTCCAAGCAAATATAATTTCCTCAAGTGTACTAATATGTCAAGATTGTTGATGACATCATACTATGAGCTCATGCACCTGCAACCAGTGTGGAAAAATTAATTCTTTTTATTCTCTGTCTGGGTCTGGCTATGCTAGTATCTTCTATTTTCTCCAGCCTCATAGGCATGAAATTTTTAATGCTTAATGTATCAGCTGTGAAGGTATATCAGTTTGATGTCTTTTAATCTTCCATTCTGAATCATAACAAAATATTCAAAAAGAAGAGCAATTTCAAAGGAGAAATTTAAATTTCAGTTACCAAGTCATCAAGTCCCTAGAATGGTTATGTTTTCATCTTTGATATCTCTTCTTCATAATTTTATAGTGTCTTGTTGCTTGTATGTTTCCTAATAAAACTTCACTTTTTCATATTGAAAATTGTGGACATTGCTAATAATTTCTTGCGTTTTCCTGAAAGGTTTTTTAATTTTAAAAATATTTTATGTCCCCCCAATTATATGTTAAAATAATTTTAATATTTTTTTAAGTTTTGAGTTTCACCTTCTATCCCTCCTCCTCCTTTCCCCTCCCTGAAACAGTAAACAATTTGATATAGGTTATACATGTGCAATCACGTAAAACATTTCCTTATTAGCCATTTTGTACAAGATGAACAAAAAACATAAAAAGATAATGAAAGAAAGTGAAAAATAGGATGGTTCAGTTGATATTCAGGTAATATCAGGTTTTTTCTCTGGAGGTAGATAGCATGTTTCTTCATGAGTCCTTTGGGATTGTCTTGGATCATTGTATGGTTTGAGAAAAGCGAAGTCATTCACAATTCTTTATCCTACAATATTGCTATTACTGTGTACAATGTTCTCCTTGTTCTTCTCACTTCCCTTTGCATCAGTTCATATAAGTCTCTCAGATTTTTCTGAGAGCTTCCTACTCATCATTTCTCATAGCACAATAGTATTCCATCACAATCATAGACCATTATTTGTTCAACCATTCCCCAATTGATGGGCATTCCTTTAATTTCAAATTCTTAGCCATCACAAACAGACTGCTATAAATATTTTTGTATAAGTAGATCATTTTCCCTCATGAAAGGTTGCAATTATCATTTCTAGGAGTAGAAGAATATGCATTTCTGTATCACTAATATTTAAAAAATTACATACTGGGCCAGAACAATAATCCAACAAAGCCAGCATTCTTTCAATGAGTGGCTTTCCAGGAAGTCCTGTTCAGCAGGTCTGAATGGTGGTTGTGCATGGTCAGGGAATAGATATATTTGTTAACTTGGCATAGTTGACAAATGAGTGTTTTTGATTGGTGTGTGTGATTGATAGATAGGTATGGTGTGTGGTTAGTGGGTGAACAGATGTCACCAACAAGGCAGGAAAGCCAATCTATCAGAAAATCACTCTGTGGAGAGTCAGGATGCAGGCTGAAATTGTACCAGGCAAATAATATCACTGCCCTCAGTTCAGCTAATACCTCCTCTTAGACCCTGATGGATGTAGCCTAGAAGCCCAAGCCTAAGAACTCCAAGAATAGTAGTTCCCCTCCCTCTAGACTACACAGCAGCCTTTAGCTCAGACCTCATTTTCCAGGGTTTCAACCCTTGTGAAGGTCAAATCTGGCAACTGCCTTTATAAATAATATAATGATTACCTTCTTGAAAAAAGGAAACTCTCACCACTGAAGTCCAATTCTTGTCACTGTCAAAAAATTCACTAACATGAAAATGACTTTATCAGTGAAAATAACATTAAATAGGATGCATCATTATCTCATTTAATAATGAGTCCTGAGGACCATAGGGCCTTTAAATATTTTTTTTGCAGCTTTAATGTGCAGGTATTCTCTTTTTCTATTAGAATGTGAGTGAGCCCCTTGAGAGCATGAACTGTCTTAGTTTTCTATTTTCATTTCAAGTTCTTAGCATTCTGCTTTGTACATATTAATTGCTTGATAAATGTATTTGCATTCATTCATGGCTGATGGGTTGGAATGTTTGAGAGGTACAGTTGGTAAGTAGGTGAAATATTAGGTAATATAGCATGTTCCAAATATATTTTGAAATACTGTGTGATAGAGACTGTAATAAAAGTTCTTAAACATATGTATGAAACGCATCAAGAAACCAATTGAAAATGAATGTTCAAGAACAAAAAAGGAAGGATGAACAAGGCCATTCATTTCTATTTAAGAAAGTGAAGTTTTATTTAGAAAAAGAGATGAAAAGACCTAGAAAAATCATTGTTACATAGAAATTTAATGGCAAAGTTTGGATGGGTGGGAGATTTGGGGATTTGGTTAGTTTTTTAACTGATAGATCAGAGGAAAGTCACAATAAATATTCACATAGCAGAGGGAGTACAAAAATGGTGTCTGTTTCAGCAAAAGCCAAGGTTTCCAAATTGGGCACATAAGGCTCTGTTTATAGTTGAGTGACTTTAATCACATAAATAAGAAAAATAAAGAAAGTTAAAAAAAACATAAAACAGCATGCCTTGATCTGCATTGAGATTCCATCAGTTCTTTCTCTGCAGTTGGATAGCATTTTTCAACATGGATCCTTCAGAATTGTCTTGGATCTCTGTATTGCTAAGAAAAGCTAAGTAATTCAAAGTTAACCATTGTATAATATTGCTATTACTATGTATAATATATTATTGGTTCCCTTTCCTTTTCCGCTTACTTCCCTCTGAAAACCACAGTTTTCAGAATATTGGGGAATTTATTGGAATGCAGTAGAATAGAAAAACTTTTATTAAGTGCTTTCTATGGATCAAACATGGCATGAAGTTCTGGAGATAAAAATCAGGGAGCTAGGAAGTCCATGTTTTCAAGGAACTCAAATACTATTATTAGGTAAAAAATAAATAGAACGTAGGCCTGGAATCAGAAGGATGCAAGTTCAAATCCAGTCTTGGACATTTAATGGCTGTATGACCCTGGGCAAGTCACCTAAGCTTTCTTACCCTGAGTTTCCTCAACTGTAAAATGGGAATCATAATAGTATCTATCTCACAGAGTTGTTCTGAAGATTTAATTAGATAATATTTATAAAAGACTTAATATAGGACCCAGTACATTGTAAGTACTCATTAAATGCTTATTCCCTTCCCTTCCCTTAGGGTACAATGACAGAATGGATGGTGAAGTCCATGAGACCTGTGGGTACAACAGCAAGTCAGATGGCAGTTCACAGATGTCCAGTGGAGAGAGTAGCAAGGCAGAGATCAGTAAGACTGGCTAGAAATTAGGCAGCAATTGCAGGGCAAATGGTAAAGCCCAGTGCTGTACAACTGTTCAAGAAAATTGTAATTGGTAACTTCCAAGTAGTGTGAGTGAACATATCCCTTATTGATGACTATTAGGAAGAAGGGAGTGGACCTTCAGATTAAAGGAAATTATTTCTAGCAGGAGTGGAAACAGATGAGAGGGGCATAGTTCTTGGTAGGAACTAGACAATTGATTCTCAAGATAGCTAAAAGACACAAGGATACAAAATGCTTGGAGAAAAACCTGAGACTTTTGTGTTACCTGTGGTGGAAAGGTGTCTATGATAGAAATGCTATTGGTTCATGTTCATCTTTCATTCTTTAAGAGGCCCAATGACATCTTGAGGGTGATGTGTTGACTTGTGCTTGGATTGGATTTAAGCAAGACAGAGCTGCTCAAAGTCATCACACTCACTCTCTCCTTCAGAGTCATTGTAGTCCTGTGGCAAGACCAAAGTCATGATGGTTGGTTGGTGATGGCCCAGGATGCAGTGGGTGATTTAGGCCTTTCTAAATTAAGGTCTTTTTTAGGTTTCAGTTTGTCTGAGGCTACACCCCATTCAATGACTAAGGGCTAGGTAAGAATGGAGGCAAAGGATGGCATAATTTATCATCACAAAGATCAGTCTGAAAAGGGAAGGCCCTCAGATTTTTTGGCCAAAACAGAAAGCAATTGTTTACACTCTTTCTAAGCCATCAAAATCTAAATAACAAGCCACCAAGGCTTGGATTGGGGCTGTTATTGACCATTCAATGAAAGCCAGAGTTATTTGGGTTTAAAGGTTTAGTGAAATAGCTCCATTTAAAACAAAATGAGCTTTTTAAAGCCTGTTTTTTCAGAGCTATAGTTTAAGAAATCAAGATGAAAAGTGATGAGAAAGAGGAGAAGGAGGAGGAGGAGTAGGAGAAGAAGAAGAAGAAGAAGAAGAAGAAGAAGAAGAAGAAGAAGGAATAGTAGCATTTCCCAACTTTAGCTCAAATTTGCAGAGGTTTAACTCAAATTAACTCCTCTGCCAGACCTTCTCTCTGTATAGAGACCTCATGCTGTTGTTGTTGTTGTTCATCCTTCATTCATGTATGGTAAAGAGGAAGAAATGTGAAGGCTGACAAAAGCTGATCATGTTACAAATGTGTGGACATTGATAAAAGTTGAGCTAAGAAGAGAGCAATTGAACTTTGTCTGAGAGCATGTCCTGTAGGCAGCCTTTATCAGTGATTTGAAAATCTGTACGTGGGAAACTAAGAAGCTCATTTACAGCAATAAAACGGGTCCTTGGAAAGATGGCATTTAAACTGGACTTCAGTGCATGGGTAATAGTTAAAAATAAGAAATTGAAGAAGCGAAGACATTCCAAGCATAAGAAATACCATGAGCAATGGTGAGGATATTGGGAAGCATGGGAAATACTTAGGGAAAAATGAGTAGTCCAATGGAACATGAATGTGGATCACATTATAGGGAACAGTGTGATGAAAATATAGAAACATAAGTTGGTTGCACACATTGACGTTTCTTTGTTATTTATCATGATAGAAGAGAGATTGTCAAATAGGCAATTGTATTGTCAGGAATAATGGTCTGATGTATATGGTAAAAAAAAATAATTCCTTTGCCCAATACACTGCAATTTATCCAGTATTTTCTTTCATTATGAATAATCTGTTATCTTTCTTCTATTCTATGCATTACCTTGGTTTCCCACTATTCATAGTTATAGAGGAGTGAACTATATGGGACATGCTATCAGTGCTTTCATCTTTTGCTTCTTGTCTATGGATTATAGCCTAACTATGAATGAAAAGTGGTCATCAACTTAAGAGCAGCAATGGAGGCCAAATCAACACTTCATAACAATAGAATGCCACTGTGGGAAGATGAATAATAGTATGTTGCTGTGGGTTACTAGTGAGCAATGAGGAAAATCTTGGATTTGTCTATGATCTGGTGGAAGGTGACCTGAGAAATGAAGACTTATGAGACACCTAAGTGTTTTTGGTTTTTGTTCTTCATTCTCAGAGGACCAAAATGATATTACTATGTTGTGGTTAAGGTACAATGTCC